AGGTAATGAGTAATTGAATGTATGCGGACAGAATATTGTTGGCCACGTGAGACGTGAGTTATAGCGCGACTGTTGAAATTAAGTGTATCGTAAAGTTGTATTCGGAAAGATAAACCAGTTTTATTTAAGAAAAGACTTGCGTCGCTAAAGTTTAGTCGGAGAGAATTTACGGAAAATTAACTAACGACTGGAGGCGTAACAATATGTCTTTAATGACAATGTTCTTTATTACACAATAAGGGTTGCTAGCAATGGTGAATTCAGACCAGTTATTTCTAAAACATTAAGATCGACGCAGAATTTATATTTAGTGGTTATATCATGAGGTTACACCTCATGTAACTAGCTAATTTACATAATCTTTCTCAATATTAACACCTGTACGTCGACGCTAGATGAAGGGTGTTTGAGTTTCATAATACAAAAATACTTAAATTCAACAAGCTCTAGCTAGAAGGTGAGTTGAGCGCATAATTATAACTAAAAATTCATAATTGAACTAAACGATAAAAGGAATAATAAATGAACGGTAAACATAACCATAACAAAATAAAATTTGCTTTCACTGTCTCAAAAAAACAAAACCAAAAAAAAAACATAAATAATTGAGTCTAACAAAAAAATCAATAACTGGCTTCAAGTAAAATGGACATAATGTTATAAATTTCAAGAAACTATTCATACTTAGATGGCGCTGCAAATTAATGCTATAGCAACGGCAAAAACAATAAAGAAGTATGGTGAATCTAGTAGTAGTAGTGATACTAATAATCTGAGGGAAATGAATGTTGAAGTTTCGTTTGAATTAATTGTTGAAACTCATATTCGTCTAATTCGACTCAGCATCTTAGTTCGCTTCTTTTTAAACTTGTTTGTTTAAGCGGAATAAGAAAGTGAAAATAGTACATTAAGAAAAGGACTAGTACTTGATAAGAATGATGAATAATTCAGGTAACTTAAAATTTAAGAATTTACATTTAAGTTGAACCTCTATCTATGAGTATTATTAATAATAGGCTATACTTATAGGCTTAATATTGCCAAAGTGACTTTTAAGAAAACTATCATAGCACTTATCTGTTGTTGTTGTAGTCTTAGCTCAAAGTTACAGAATGGACCATCTATGCTCTGTTTACCACAGGGAATTGAACCCTGAATTTTAGCATTGTGATTCAGTAAACTTACTGCTGACCCACCAGGAACTGCATTTATCTAACTACTGATTCTATTTAATGACTCTGCAACTCAATTATCAAGTGGTAATAATATTTGGTTATCTGTTAACTTTATATTTAATATTGTAATTTCCGTTATTTTTATTTTGTATGCAGTGGCTAGATACCTTTCAAATACTAAATACCTAGCAGTCCTAAAATTTGAATATTGATTGGCTACAACAACAACAACAATAATTATAATAAAAAAATTATGATACTTAATAATAATACTAATGCTAATTTCAAAAATTCTCTCTCTCTCTATATATATATATATATGTATAAAACATAAATTATCATATTGGAAGTTTATCAGCGTTGAACATCATTAAATTATGTACTTCCAGGTATCTAGTATTTTGAGGATTCTTCCTGAAAACTTGTAGCAAACTTGCACACCAATTGACACTAAACAAGAATGATGATCAATATTTATTTTTCCAATGCAAAAGTTTTATTCATATCTCCTTATCGAGCTTGAAAACAAATCAGTCTTATAATATATTATTGCTCAACCTATAAGTCAAATGAGAGTTGACTGTAGCTCATCAATACACAAATTTTTGGACTGCCAGGTATTTGGTACTTGAAAACTCATTCCTGGCTGCAGGGTATCTAGAAGCTGTGTATTTTGTTTATATGCTGTGGGAGAAACAACATGTATATCAATTTGATTGATTTGATTTTTTTCTACGTATCTACATTTGATATTTTGCTATTTTGATATATTATGATGAAGGAATGCTGCAAAATAATTTTACTTATAATTTGTATTGTTTATTTATATTTTTATACACCATGGGCTAGGCATGACATTGTTGTAACTCTTACATTGACTGCAAAATGATCCACATAAAATTAAACTAAAAAAGTTAACTCAAAAATACTTGGAACATTTAAATCCTTTTGTGTTACAAACAGGAGTCAGTAATATACACAGCCATTCAAAATCTTATCTAATCAAAAGAACATGTTATTTATTTGTTCCATCAAAACACAGTATTTCAGTGCATAGTTACACGAGTTATAAATATATATTGTTCTTATTTTAATTTTATTTTTAACAAATTATTATGTGTTCATTGCATTAATTTTCATTATAAATATAAGCACTTATTTCTATTCGTTTATAGTCATAGTAAATGAATACTTCCATGCTTGTTAATTTAAGAGAATCTGCATAAATAAATCAACAAAATGTAGTAACACACTAGTAACCTCAAACATACTGTTGGGTTGAATGTACCTTGTATTCACTATGAGGAAAACCTATACACTGGATAGGTGAAGTGAAGAAAAAGTGTCATTGGCCACTATTCAGTTCTTCACACTTCACTTCATACTTTTCACTATGATATAGGTCCAGCTTAACTCTCTTTGGTTAACTTGTGTCGAGGGATACTGATGAGGAGTGGAATTTTTCTGAAACTAGTATAACCCAATAACACATGTTGATCAAAGTGTAGATTGAACTGGACTTCCCTTGAACCTAGACTTCAAAATTAAACACTTTTTGGAATACTAAGTTTATTTATTACACTAGTAACCTGTCCTTCAATAAGTTTAAAAGGATAAAAAAAGAACATGTAAATAGTTTGTAAATATGTACCTACATTCTCAATTATTACTTTAAAAGAAATTAGTTATTTTACAAAAGCTAAAAGCATATTACTGTTACATATTAATTTTTCTTCAATAACATTAGGCTGCTTGTATAATAATAGTTAAATGGAACAGTAAGTTAACTAATTATTATCTTGCCACAGTGAAAATTAGGTAATAAACCCCTTTGTGATCTTATACATTCTTGAATTTTATATTATCCTCTCAAAATATAATAGTGATATAAGTATAACTAGTTATGGCTACAGATCTTACGAATATTAAAAATGTACCACCTTTCAAAGTCTCAATTTTAACACATTAGAATTTTATAAAACATTTTAGATTTGATAAACAATTGATAGGAAAAAAGAGAAAGTGCATAAAAAACTGTCAGATACCAAAGAACAATCTACTACAAGCAGGAAGAAATATTCAAAAAGGTAAGTAAAGTGTCGTAGACAAAACTAAACTTATTATGTTGGATTATAAGAAGAAGAAGATAAATTTAGTAGGGTAGTTATTTGTATCTGACACCAGTATGGTGTATGCAACAATATTTCTCTGTAGCTTACCTTGATCTGGAAAAATAAGATTGCTAATAGTGTATTCAATCTATTAAGGAATGCAGACCACATCGATCATATACACACCAGAAGACTGGTCTCTTAACAATCAGAAGTGGTTTAATTTATCGGAAAGACACAGAAAGGAATTCCAAAGGTACGAAGTTAAAATTATTTTATCACTTAATCTAGAACTTATGGAGTTGCATGTAAAATATAAAACCTTTGATGGCTTATTAATCAAGATGACAAACTTATATTGTGTTCATAACTTTCACAGGTACATAGACACACACACATAAAAAACAAACAAAAAAACATATATATACAGAAAACATAAACATTACCTAAACAGGTAATTTAATATATACATCAAAAGGAAGGACTGTGTTACAAACAACAAGACCAAACCTATGATGAGATAGAACATATTTATAATACAAAACAAGTCTTAACCAAAAATGCTGCACAACCAACACAAAATTACTAAGGAACAGTCTATAATGTGGGATATAAAATATATCCTGGTGTTTGGTGATGACTGAGAAAGTAGGACTCGTGTAATAGCAGGGATACACCATCTTTCAGTCTTAACCTCTATTCACAAAGCCTCACATCTATTATTCCTGTAAGCCTCTTATTTTTACTGTTTTATACATATTTGTTTTTAGTACAAAGTGTGTGTATGTGAGAAAAGAGAGATGAGAAATTGTAAGATGAAGGAATCTTTTCTTATGGATTGTTTTGAAAACTGTCTTGAAAAGTGGAAATAATAAATAATTTGAAACGTTTTTGATTTGTTTCACCAATTCTTTAGAATTCTTTGGTAAATCAACTGCTTTATTGGATGGGAAGATCCATTGTGGATTTTCTTTCCTTTGACTTTCAGAAAAGTTTCTATAAAGTATCATACCAAGTTTTTCCTTACTTAAACTCTTGTGGTGTAGGTATATGTAAAAAATTATTTAAAAGTACTGTTACTAGCGTCATGTGACCCCCGCTGTCGTAACACGCTAAAGTTTCTTCGGAAAGAATTTCTACGGAAAAATAACTAACGAACGGAGGCGTAACAGTACTTTTCAGTGATTGAATGTAATTTAAGAGGCCTGCTTTGTTGTCTTTGTACCTCATTTCTTATGTAAATGATAATGATATCAAAATGGACTGTACATTACATAAACTTAGTTGGGGCTTAGTGAACAGCCAAGTGGTTGGAAAACATGTATCATGAGTCAGATGTGTAAAATCATGGGCTTAGGATATCAAAACTAAATTCTGTATGAAAATGATGCTGGTGTTTTGGAGAGGAAGAAAAATCTGGATATAGTTATAATGAAGAACTTTAACTGAAGCCTGTAACCAAGTGTCTAACTGAGTATTGGATCTGTGTAGTGAAGTGTTTTATAATCAAAAGGACCAGTGTTTCTTTTTGCAGTTACACCAAAGTTGGAAGACTGTGTTAAGGATAATGATCTACCAGGATGATGACTGAAAGTTTTGAGCTATTAGGACAGGTTTTAACAAATCTATTTATTATTCTATAGAGTAGAAGAAGTAGAGATGTTGTAATTCAAGGTTTCAGTTTTGTTAGATTCTTGGATAGGCTATCTGTTCAGAATACTTATGATTCCTTGATTAAAGTAATGTGTACTTATGGAGATGTTTTTATAATATGGATTATTTGAAGTTTTTGTCGGATATATATATATATATATATGTGTGTGTGTGTGTAAAATGGTTCTATGTAGAGAGGGTGGCAATAGGAGTTATGATGATGGATTGGTTGGTCTCCCTATCTTTTTCTTCTTCACTTGTTTTTATGATTTTGTTTTTAAATAGAAACTTATAAAAAGTTATATATCAAAAGTAATTTAGGCACTAATCCTCATATATTATTGGATGTAAACTTGAAACTGAAAAACTTCTGAACTTCAAAAAAAACATTTTTAAGAATGTACAGTCAGAATTGTGATGTAAATCAACAGTTAATCTGTCATTCAGATATGCTTATCTTCAATATAAGATATTTCTGAACAACGTTTTTTATAAATGCTTACCAAGTTCTCGAGCAAAATATTTTTGAGATCAATTTTTTTTTACATTCACCAATAGTGTAAGATTAAACATGAAAAATGAACATGTGCAGTCAATGAGAAAAAAAAAGTTGCAGGTCTACACCAATTATTCAGATAACTAATACCTAACTGACAAAAAATGAGATGTCTTTATGGTGATGAATTTCTTCTGTACTTTTTTCATTTTGCTTTTGTGACCCACATACATTCTTCTTGAACTCATTATTTGAATATTGTGTAACCATTATTTTTATGAAATATTTATAAATACAAATTCTTTGTTAAGGTTAGTTACTTACCCAACTTGTATCATTAATAAAACAGCTAAAGCATCCTGAATATAATTATGAATGTTGTCTTTTATTTTTCTCAGAATTAAAGAAGAAGCCAAATCTATTTCACAAGAGAAAGCAGTTTTAACTCAGGTTATTCAGGATGACGTCACCAAGAAACTTGGTTCTCGTGCCAAGGACATTTTTATTTGGAAGAAAGAGTTAGAAAAAACTATAGAAAAGATCACGACTGAGACTCATAAGCTCATCAGTCAGAAAAAACGTTTGGAAAATGCTCTGGCAGTTAGTGACACACCACTGATGTTAGCATCTGAATGTCTTGACCTTCGAAAACAGCGATTAGCTACTGACCTAGTAGAAGATAACGTTCAATTGGCATTGTGGGCAGTAAGATGAAGTATTTGTTTTATTGAATAGCATTGAGATAATTAGATGATTCTGACATGATATCCATACAAGTTTTACAGTACTTGGAATATTATATTTACAGAAGTTTTGATAATATTTGGAATTTAATACAAATACAAGTTGTACAATAATTGGAATATACATATACAATTTTTGTAATACTTGGAGTATAATATACACAAAAGTTTTTACAATATTCGGAATTTGAATATACATGTGTTTACAACATTTGGAGTTTGATTGACATGTTTTTACAATACTTGGATATATATATATATATATTTAAATATTTTCAGTAATTTGAATTTCAGATATATACAAATTTTTTATTATTTGAATTTTCCTATATGTGGCTGTTTATTTCAACATGTATTTTCTTGTATATTACCTTTCATTTCAACAAGAAGTTTCCTATATTTAACCATATACTTCAAGATGACTTTTCTTGTATATGACAATTTATTTTAATATGTATTTTCCTGTATGTCCCTGTGTAGTTAATATAAAATTTCCTTTATATTGTGTATTTCATCATGAACTTGCACACAGGTGGTTGTCTGTAATTTTCCTAAGATTTTCTTATATTTTAGTGTGTATGTGTGTGTATTTCATTGATGATGTTGATCAACATACCTGTTTGTATTTTTGTTGTAGAGTTGCTTATAGTCATGTATATTTTAATGTAAAATAGGTTATATGTGGGCATGTACATTCTTACATAAATATGCTGTATTTTCACCAATATGAGAATATTTATATCTCAACTACAATTTGGCTGTGTGTGTGTGTTGAATGTTTCTGTTTTGTACTTTATAACTTAGACAAAGCCTTCTAAATATATTATTTCTGATTTAGTACTTTACCTATTCTCACATAAATAGCTATTCTCGTTCAGTGCTGCCTTCTATATGCAAAATATTTTCACATGCCACAAGTCTTGAGCTCCCACGTACCCTACATTCAACATAGTTCAACTGCATCTCGCATGTAAATCATCATGCAACAAACCTCCACCAACAGGAGTGCAACACACCCTCCTGACACATGCGACTCCCTCTTTTATTCAAATGACATATACTTCTTTGTCTCCTTCTTCTCGTAATTTATTCCAAGTGTCTTCTCCTCAGATTAGTCACCTTACTTTTTACCTGGCATCTTATAGCCATCATCTCTTGGATGAAATTCTTCAATTTGGCACGTGGACCACACTACATATGTTTATCTCTTACTATCTGCATTAGATCATTGTTCCTTCATCACTGGGTTATCGTCTCCCACCTGTGGCCATTCTTCAGACTTCAGTGAGACTATGAATGGGTAAGTTATCTTTTATGTACCTCTTACTATTCAGGGGGCACTTTCCTTTTTTCCTGTATGGATCCTGCTCTGTGGTGCTTGGCCAGATATACTTCAACTAGTCAAAATCTGCACTGTAAAGGCAGGATGACTTAATATTTATAATTTTTCATGGCCACTAAAATGTTCACTGTTGAGATGGGGTGTTCCACGAGATCACTTGTAGGATTTTTCCTCATAATATCAATATACCTCATTAATATGCCCTTTCCAGACTGTACTCATGCATAGACTTCATAGGTAAAGCAGAAGGGGATAGATACCCATTCAGTTGAGAGTAGGGCACATCCTTTTACTTTCACCAACATTGATGTACTTTATGGGATTGAGATTCCAATATCGTATAGTTTGGATCCATATCCAACCACTATTCTTTCCCATTTGGATGTGCTCCTTCAAACTTCCACCCATGTCTGCATCACCTCTTTCCACACTGGATGAACAGTATACCTGGTACAGAAATGGTGCTGTCTCCCAAGTATAATCCTCTAATGCGAGGATTTCCTCTTTTAGGGTGTTCTTTGGACACTTTTGAAGGGTGCTTATTTTTCCCCTTGCACCGGTCCCTCCACCTATTCAATGTGGGATTCTAGCTATTTATGTGAGTAGAGGTAATGTACCATATCAGAAGTTATAATTTTCCTATACTGAAAATGTATTTCCAAAACATACTTACCCTCCACTGACACTTTAGCTATTCCTTGACATTGGCTTTGCCTATCTAGGCATTGGTCTAGCATGCTCCAAACATTTATACCCCACTTAAATGCCCTTGGCAATATCTAATTTGCAAATTCATCCACCTGCGTCAATGTGCCCTCCATCCTGACACTGTATATAAGCACTTTACTCAGATAATGTAATTACTTTTTCTCGACAAAGCGTTGGTCATGGTTTTGTCTAACAAAGTGTTGTGGTTTGTTCAGGTATTTTTGCTTTTCGCGTCGCCTTGTGGATATCCATATAATTACAATTTCCTTTTTAAAAAAATGGACGTGGTGTTTGCGGGTATGAATTTCCATATTACCATTGTCAGCATAGCAGTTCATCCAACCTCCCCCTATTCCTTCCTTGTTATCTAGCATTTCTCTACAATCAGATGGTGGGGTGTGTGTTTACTCTTAGTTGACGCTGTCCGTCGTTTGATCTAGTGGTAGATGGAAACATATATTTGGCCCGGGGGTGTTTTTCTCCTGGGGCCTCTGAGGTTGCCTTTTTTGTTGATCCTGGTTATTCTAGGGAGAATTTCGACTCAGTTTTTCTGACGCTTCTCTTTACTACGTTGACTTTTCACCAGTCCAATTTGGATTAACCACCTCATACTTATTTTCTTCAATTGGTCATTTGGGTTATGAGCTTGTGGAAGTTTTCTCTGTGACTTTTAAGTTTATTCCTCCATTGATGGTGGAAGGGTCGGGGAGGGGGGACTATTTAGTTTTTCCTTCTTCGCCTGATAATCCTGGCTCATGCTGAGAGATTTACTGTTTTATTACGTGATGGAATAGATATACCTTGTACCCTCGTTTGTCTGCTAGCTTTCCACTTCCAGGGGGTGTATTTTTTCAATTCCACAGATTAAAATTATTTAATTTTGGATATATGGGATTCCAGGTTGGTTCTTGTGATCACTTGAACCAATCACATTTTTTTTGTATTTGTTTGCTCCTCACTCTTGCTTTGTCATGTTTCTTCCCCCGCAAATTGTTGGCAGCCTGTCAATGATCCCCACATTAATTTACAGACAAATGGTGTCTCCTACTGACTTTTACCTTGATCAGATTGCCTGCTTCTGTTCCTTCTGTAGAGATACCTTGGTGAAGGGACTTTGTCTACCTGCTGTAGCCTCTGGGTGTTACATGTGGCTTCCTTTTATCATCACTTCATGTTTGCGGGTGTCCCAGAGGAGTTTGTATTGCAAATTTCCGTTATCTGATTGTTTTTTTGTTGTTGTTGACCTCTCGACCTTCTTTGGCTCTAGCAGCTGAATAGACTCAGACCTTAGTTTCAGGGCCACTCCATTTGTACCGACTGACGCCAATGGCATCAATATCAACCTAGATGGGTGGGGAGAGGTCAGTTAGTGAGGTTACAACTAGTGATGGACACATGGTATTCCTTCACTGCAGATCCATGGGCACTTCTGATTCTGGTATCAAGGTTGGTCTTTCTATTTCATTCTCCACCTCCATTATCCTCTCACCCTATGGTATTTCCACCTCCACCTGACCAGTGGGGTGTGGATCTTTGTTTCATGGCTATCAGAGTTACTGATCATGGGGTGGTAGTGACAGTTGATCCCATTCTTCCAGGATTTTATTCCTGTTTATTTGTTGTGCTTGAGACAAGGGGAGATTCGTGGATAATCATCATTCTTTTTCATCTCAACCCATTTTTTGTTTCTCCCCAGTCCACAATGGAATTCTTTCTCACCCTACATTGGCATTCTTCACCAGGTCCGTGGATGCCAAAGATTATGGTTGCTGAGGCATTTCACCACATTCTCATAGTGAATTAATCTTGCCTTTAGCTATGTTTTGTATACAGAGATCAGGTTCTGCAGTTCAGGGATCTAGTATTTCTTCTTCTGCTGGGTTTTACAAGTTTTCACCATGTTTTACACCTGGCTCAGCCACCTCCCATCCAGCTCCAGGCTATGGGATGAGCAGTCAGGCTCTTACTTACAGGGAAGGTTCTATCTCTGGGGCTGTGGGCTTCCCTCAGATCTCTTGCATTTTTTTGGAGGAGAACATATGCTATCCCTTCAGTGGTCCCATTGCAACAAATGGATCTGGAACTTCAATACACTGGATTTTCCAGTCTCTTTCTTCAGGAGCAAGAACTTAGTTCTTGAGTGGTGGTTGGTTTGGATCACCTCTATCATTAGTATGTGGGTGTGTGTATATATATATATATGTTTATATATCTATGTGGGTGGATGTGTTTACATGTATACTGCCCCTCTGTCCTTAGTTTCTCTTCACAGATGCTTCACTTGGAGGATGCAGTATCTTCAAGATCAGGAATTTTGTGGTATATTATTGGAGGACGAATCTTCATTCTACATCAATAATTTAGGACTTTTTGCTGTCCAACAGGAAATAGTGCAAAGTCTAGACCTTTTGCAGGGGAATATCTTCATAAGATGAGTCATCAATTACAGTGGTCTCTTAAATTCGGTTCTTAATCTATGGGGTCTATTCCAATCAATTAACATCCTGGCTTGCCATTTTCATGGGGTGATGGATTTCATAGGAGATTATCAGTCTCAATCTTCACTTTCTCCTGAGCAAATGGTTTTCTAATAACTTTGTTCTAATTTTGGGCCTCCTTTGTTAGCTTTTGCCACTTATTGCTACTCAACTACAAGCTTTAACGTCTCCACTACCTCATCCTCAGGCTTGGGTGGTAGATGCAATTGGTTCTGCTTGGATGGGATTGCACATCTATGACTTTCCCCCTCTTCCTATGTTACTCAGAGTTCTGACTATATTTTCCATATGTTATTGTTATCAGTTATAGTTTGTAGTTCAGATTCTGTTTTACTGTTTTTGGGTTGTGTACTGTTGTTCTGTTTGTATTATATTTTTTTCATGTTGTATTATAATATTTTTAGGTTTTTTGTTGTTGTTCATTTTATATTATACTGTTTACAGGTTATATACTATTGTCTGATTTGCATGAAATATCTTGTTTTTCAGACTCTCTACTCTCAGCACTAGAACCACAGAGAACAATCACTGAAAACCAGGTAAAATCACGTATTATAATTTATTTTAAAGTATCATTTTATATAAATGTTAGAGTTATGAAATTAACTTGCATTTGTACTGTAATGTATTATTATTGATTCTATACTTTAGTATCTGTGTGTTATTGTTTGTAATATACTGTTTACCTTTTTTTGGTATTATTATGCTTATTTATTATTTTCTCTACACCGTTATGTGTGTATTATTATTCTTGTATTATTGCATCTTTGTTATTGTTTATAACTATGTTATCTTTATGTTGTTTCTGTATTATTTTTTTTTGTATCAGTGTCCTAGTTTGTCTAATTTTTAAATTTTATGAATGATGAGAATATATGCTATTAGCCCACTGTAGTGACACTTTCCTTTTGTTGTTTGTTAGGCTTCACCCCCGTGCAAACTTGTCAGGCCTAAATCTGCTGAGAAAAAGATAAAGTACAAAGAACACCGTAGAGTTTGTCACATAAATGCTGAACAGAAGAGGAGAGGCAACATAAAGGTAAGCAAGTTGATATCTTAGTGATAATAGTCAAGGAAGAGTAGTGTAAGGGTAACCAAGTTGACATGTTAGTGATAATGATCAATGATGGATTTTTTAAAGGTAAGTAAGTCAATATTTTAATGATAATGATCAAGGAGGGGTTATGTAAAGGTAAGCAAGTTGATATGTTAGTGATAATGATTAAGGAGAGGTAGGCAAGTTGATATCCTAGTGATAATGATTAAGGAGAGGTTATGGAAAGGCAAGCAAGTTAATATGTTGAAAATGAACAAGGAGGCATTATGGAAAGGTAAATGATTCAAGATGATAGTGGTAATGATCAAGAATTGGTGGTGTAAACATAAGCAAAATAATATGTTAGTGATAAGTATCATAGTTTGGTGGGGTAAAATAAGTTAATATGCTAGTGTTAATGATTAAGAAGGGGTTGTTTAACGGTAAGCAAGATGATACTTTAGTGATAATAATCAAGTTGATATGTCAGTGATAATGATGAAGGAGGGGCTATGTAAAGGTAATGAAATTTATACTTTATTGATAATAATCAAGGAGGGGTTCTGTAAAGGAAAACAACTTGATATGTTTGTGATAATGATCAAGAATTGGTGATGTAAACATAAGCAAATTGACTTGTTAGTGATAATTATCAAGGAAGGGTAGTGTAAACATAAGCAAGATGATATGTTAGTGATAAGAATCTAAGATGGGTAGTGTAAAGGTAAGTAACTCTTTCAGCACGGGTTTGGTCTTTGGAACCGACTTCATACCATTTTTGTGCTTGTTATAGTTTTCATCCTATAAATTTTTAATTAGTAAGCGTACATTAATGAAATTTGGCAGATTATCAGTAAACATTACAATGCTTTGATATGCAAAATATCAGATTTTTTTTATTGAACCTTAAGGTTTGTTAAGCAATGTTTTTCTCATGCCTTTTTTTTTCTTTTTTTGTATGTTGCCTATCTATCATGCAAAGAAATTTTCATTTTAAGATTAAAAATACTTTTACGCATAAGAATATTTTTCAAATTTCACATGCAAAATCTTTATAATGTCCAGATAGTTATCAAACATTTCTTAAGAAAAAAAATTATATTTTATCTGTTATTTTCAGTAATGAATCTCTGTACGGATTCGGTAGGTTTGACCGATCTTGTAACCACCATAAAAATTAGGAAATAAATATAAATTATTCCTCTTTCATTCTAGAATAACAACAGATTATAACATAATTGTTTAGGCTAAATAGCTTAAATCTCATAACATTATACATTTATATATATATTTATTATTTTTATTATATTGACCTTTCAGCCATGCTTGGTTAACAATACAGAAGTTACAAAGACATGTCACACGTGCTCTTATGTTACTATATCCAGTAGTATAAAACTGACCTTTAGTCTTTACAAAGTGACCTGTCTTGGCTGTGTTTTAGTAGACTAGTATTTTCTAAAATACAGTCATATTTCCACTATTATACATTATAAATGTATATAGATTATTACTATTTAAAAATAAGTTATTAATCTTATTTTTCTTAAAACATAGAACAGTAAATAAGGAAGTAAAGCAAACAATTATCTCTTCTAGTTATGAATTTTGTACTCAGTTGCTGCTTGACGTAGGTTGCTAAGCCTTTTAAAATTTGGTACATGGAGGATATGAAACAAAATACTTTTTTTAGGTTTTATAAATACAGTTGGATAATCAAAAAATCATAAATTACTATATCAATACCAGAGAATTCCATTAAGATTGGTATCCTAACACATGGAAATGGCTGAGAAAGCCACTAGGGGGATATTCTGAGCTTTCGATTGGTTATTCACATGTCATATATTTAAGTAAGTGTATGTAAGGGATCGTTTCTAAAAATGTATTTGATTCAGTACATGAGTGATATCTTAACAAATTCAAAAGATAAGAGGTTATTATTTTACATTCTAGCTTGTTGGTATTGGTAATTTGAGTTCTTAATTTGTACAAAACTAAAGACTTGATATATCGACATCACAAACATCTAATTTGAACCAGTGCTGCATTCAACATACCAAGTGACACACAAAAATCGATGTTTAACTGTATTTTTTTAATATTTACTTTTAAATTAAGAAATTGAGAAAGGTATAATACTAAAATTTGACTTATAATCTACAGTTTGATACCAAACTTATTTTCATAAATTCATGAAATAGTAGTTCAATAAAACTTTGAATGTCAGTCAACAAATGCGATGACATGGCCTTTGACCCATGACCCATCTGGAAGAGGTTAAGTTTATATGTTAATGATAATGATCAAGAAGTTATGAAAAGGTAAGCAATTTGATATTTTAATAATAATGATCAAGGAGGGGTAGTGTAATAGTAAGTAAGTTGATATGTTAGTGATATTGAACAATGAAGGACTATGTAAAGAGAAGCTAGTTGATATTTTAATGATGATAATAGAGGGGTTGTGAACAGGTAAGCAAATTGATTTGTTAGTGATAATGATGAATGAGGGGGTTATGTAAAGGTAAGTAAGTTAAGCAACTTGATATTTTAGTGTAAAGGTAGGCAAGTTGAGATCTAATGATAATGATCAAGGAGGGGTTATGTAAAGGTAAAGAAGTTGATATGTTAGTTATAATGATCAAGGAGGGGTAGTGTACATGTAAACAAGTTGATAAGTTTAGAGGGGTTGTGTAAAGGCAAGCAAGTCAGTATGATAATGATCAATGAGGGTTAAGTAAAAGTAATTAAGTTGATATGTTAGTTATATTGATCAAGGAGGGCTAGTGTAAATGAAAGGAAGTTTATATGTTAGTGATAATGATTAACCCTTTCACCACTGGTATCCTTTACTGTGCAAGACACAAGATTTTTGTGTCTTACATTCAAAATTTTATGAAACTACTTTTTGTTTATGTTATACCAATTAGTATAGCATAAAATCTTAGCTAGTAATCCATATTTTAATAGCATCTAAGTTTTAAGTGTATAATTACATAAGGCAATATTTAAAAAAATCCTGAATTTCTCCTAGTGTGACACAGGTGACACATTTTCTCTACATATCTTCTATTCTCTATTTTATACATCACCCTCCAATAACTATGAAACGTATGTTACTCACTATATAATCGTCATTCTTCAGACAAACCATAAATTTTATTGCCTTCAGTTTTGTTTGGTTACAGAGCTATCAAATAGAAAATCAGACCCCCTCCTGTCACACCCACCTGTCATATCTTCTCTTTCAGGATTTGTTAATAGTTCTCTCTTATGTTTAATTATATATTACCTATAACTAATAGAAAGCGAAGGTTTTATCTATCAAATGACATATTGTCCAACATTGTGTTCTGAACGGATAATTGTCAATTTCACTTATAATACACGGTTCATTCCCATGGGAAAGTTAATGACTAGCTTGTATGAATTTGTAATGGCTCTTGTCGCATAGGTAGAAATCCAGAAAATTTTTGAGAGTTTGGGGAAATTGTCTACTTTATGCATGTTATTAATTGATGTTCTTTGATGCATTATTTAATTAAATAAAAAGTATTTAGTTCATGACTACTATCAGTTTAAAAAAAATTTGAGTTAAGTAGAAAAAAGAATATTGGATAAGTACTTTATTTCTTGTTTATCCTTTATTATTATAAAAGTAACTAAATTGTAAAAGTAGGGATCTATTTAGGTTAGTTAAGGTTACATTAGGTAAAATAACCAGTAATAATAATATAATAGAAATATTTCATGAAGCATGCTCTCCAAGTGATTTACAACGTATATTGGTGCGAATATTACTTAGACATGATTCAAAGGGCAATCAAAAGAGCAATAAAACAATAAAATTTAATTATAAATAGATCTGTACTGTTACATGTTTAAAGCTACTTAGGATAAGTGTTTCACACTACATTTGAAGTTATACTAGATAGAAAAAAAAGGTAATTTTGATATATTTAAATTTTTTTGTGGTTATGAGGTCAGTCAAATTGAACAACCTTGTATAGAGCTAGGGTAGAGAAAATTCCTGATAAAATATAAAGTTTAACTCTAAACAAACATTTGAAAGGTATTCAGAAGAGTTTAGAGATTACACAAATGAAATTTGAGATTTTTGAGATGAAGACCTATTCAAAACAAATACTCTATATATTCATGGACAAATCTGTTTTTAGTTTATTAAAAATACTTCATTAAAAAATATGATTTTTTTGCATACCGAAGACTTATAATGTTTACTGAAAGACTGCCAAATTTCATGAAGATATACCCACTATATTAAAAGTTAGTACTAACAGATCTATAAGGAATTTGAGTGAGTACAAAAAGGTCACATAGTCGGTCAAATTGACCGAGCTCGTGTTGAGATAGTTAAGGAGAGGTTATGTAAAGGCGAGCAAGTTGATACGTTAGAAAGGTTGTGAAAAGGTAAGCAACTCAATATGTTAATTACTCTTATTTGACTCTTTCCAGATGGGTCATAGGTCAAAGGCCATACCATTGTGTTTGTTGACTCGCATTCAAAATTTTATTGAACTTCCATTTCATGAATT